CTTCTGATGCCTGGCCCGAGAGTGATCGCGCAAAGGGAAATTTTCCTTTTTTGAATTCACATTTATACAGTTTTGCTTCAACCATGAAACAACTACATCAATATATACAGGGTGTTTTACGGAAGGTAGACCAATTCGATATTCCGAAAACTATGTATCGATGAAAAAAAGATTGTGTCGTTTTGGTCCTAGGCAAGGGGCCTATTTAGGAAAATTATTAAAGTTCGGGATAATTAAGTAGTTAATTATTTTCGCGTACTTATCTTTTAAATATTAAGTTCAAGGGCGTAGTTTCATCTGAAAACTTGCTAAGCAGCATCGTAACTACTAAATAAAAGGAAATGTGAAGTGCTATAGACGGCATGCGCTGTATTTTACAGATTTCTGAAGAACAGCACAAATTTGACGGGTTTTTAAGCTTCGGTTTGCAATCGGAGCGCTACTCGGCATTGACGGTACTGCGCCCGGAGAAGAAATTGTGCAATCAACATCTGATTCGCAGTCTTCGCGCGACGCAGCAGAGGCAGGTTGCTCTATTTCTCCAAGGGGCGCGGTGTCGTCGGTGCCGAGAAGCGCTCCGATTGCAAACCGAAGCTTGAAAATCCATCGAAGTTGTGCGGTTTTTCAGAAAACTGTAGAATGCAGTGCGTATCTTCTATTGCATATATTTTTTTATTTAGTATTTTCGATTATGATGAGCAAGCTTCCATATGAAACCATGTCTTTATACTCGATAAATATTAAAAAAATATGCAAAAATAATGAACAACTTAATTATCCCAAACTTTAATACATTTTCTACATAGGCCCTTGGCCTGGGACCAAAACGACTCAAGCCATTTTTGTTGCGATGCGTAGTTTTCTGAATATTGAATTCGTCTACCTTTCGTAGAAGACACTGTTTATTTAACGCAGACCCCTGAAAGATGATGCGCAACGGTGCTTTTACTTAACATATTAGGCTGATATTTGCTTTTAGTCTTACCTTTGTTAAATTACCGGCGCGTCAGAAGAGTATTGTACAACACAATACTTTTTTGAACACCTGTTGATCCTTCATATATACTTTAATAATGCCAGACATTCTTGGGAAAATAACTCTCAAATGATTTCAAAGGCAGACTCGTGAAGCTTTTAAAACAAGGTAGGAAACGTGAAGTGTTCGTCATCAGGAACCTGAAGTAAAACAAACAAATCACGGAAATCTTAGTTTTAGAATCGCAATTGTTATGATAGGTCTGGTGTCTTTCTAAAAATAAAATCAGTTAAGATGTGAAGGGGTATGTGACCAAAGACTGGAGACTGCACATTTTATGTGGGCCAGGAGAGCATCTTCAATTCGTTTTTTTTTGGTATTTCGAAGTGACCTATGCGAGTGCCTAACAAAAGGCCATCTTCATCGGAGGATTATAGGCTGTCAAATCTCTACTGGAGACGTTTAGTTTCAATAGCTAATTAACTGTACAGCTTACGGCGCCATAGAATGTATAGAAAACTTTAGAATCTGATATATTTTAGTGCGGTCCTTCCAGCGTTGCGAAATACAACAATCGACACGTTTTGATATTACCGATGACGAAATGATTCTTTATGGTTGTAGTACGTTATTTGACATAAAATTATAAAACGAATAGTTTGTAACGTGCTGTTTGTTCTCACTACTTCGAATACTAATGCGATTCTTGCTCAGTCTTGCCTTAGATTGCATGCATGCGTTAATTACCGTAACAACTAGAGCTTGAAGCTTTAGAAGCTGTATTTCTGACTTTTATGGGAACATGAATATATTTTTTACTTTTGTGCTTTTCTCAGTTGTATTAGTGTGGTAGGAATTAGTATCCTGCATTCAGACCTCTACTACATGTTGTTCGAAGTAGTCGCGAGATCAATGTAGAGGGGCTTTGAAAGTACGAGTTATAAGAACATAATTTTTGTAGAGTAGTAAATTGTATTGTTTATTATCTCCTAAAACAAAGTAATCAATCGAGAAGGTCACTCGTGACAGACACATAATATTGAAGCCCAATTACATACTTGTAATATGTATATGTGATCTTGATGATCTTAATCGACTTCAAACCTGGTGCGATTTGTGGCAAATGTCATTAAACATTAGTAATTGTACATTAGTTTCCTTTCCTCGGCGGTATAACCCCCTAACCTACACTCTCAGAAAAAAAAGGTGTATTATTACGCCCCTTGTCCCATATAATACACCCCAAAACTTCATTTCGACCGTACAGCTCCCCATAATCGAACAGGCGGCCCCAAAGTTTACGAGGGGCTTGATAGCCGTGTGGTACAACTTATTAAGATAGCTGATGTACGTATTATTGACTACAAAAAAAGATTATCGGAGTTTTCTTGGCCGTACTGTAAGAGCTCCGTGTTTTCTTTCTTTGGTCTTTCATACGTACTTTAGGAATTTAATAAGTTATATCTCACCGTTATCAAGCCCCTGGTAAAATTCGGGGACGTCTGTTCGACTATAGGGCGCTGTGCGTCGTTCAGAAGTTTTGGGGTGTATTATATGGGACAAATAGGTGTAAGGTGATACCCTTTTTTTAGAGTGTACAACTATACTATCAATGAGGCCATCATTCCATCAGAACTAAGCTATAAATACCTAGGCGCGCACTTCTCTAGGAACCTATCTTGGGCACTGCATGTGAACCATGTCATCTCGGAGTATAACCGATCACTTGGACAACTAAAACATCACCTCGAGTAAGACTTGCCGTCTATAAAGCACTAATCCGCCCAAAGCTAGAATACGCTGCCGCTATATGAGACCCATTCCAACATTACCTCAGCCTTCAATTAGAAGCAATTCAAAATCATGAAGTCAGGTTCATTTTTATAGCTATTCATATGAAATAAGTGTCACCGGCCTAAAGGAACGTGCTCAACTAGATAACCTATTACCTATTTTACACCCGGAAATATTTTAAACTAACACTCTATCATAAATTCTATTACGATTTCCAGCCAAATTCACCATACATCATGCCATCCGCCCGAACACCTTATCGTACCGGTCATCCACATAACGTGATGCGCACCAAAACTAGAACAGTGACCTCGTCTGCTTGATTTTTTCTGCGCGCAGCGAAGGAATGGAATGACCTTCCCTACAGTATCATTTTCATATCTTCTACTCTTCATTTCAAAGTGAAATTGAGCGAAGTCATTCTCATCGCTGCCTCATAGTTGAAAGTGTCTTTACAATGTTTTGTTTTTGAATGATTTCAGTTTAACCTTGTATACTTTATTGTGTCATTTTACTCATGTTGTTCTTGTTTTTTTTTACTAATTTTAAAAACGCGAGTGTCAAAACCTTCTGTAATACCCTCCCTGAGGGGGTCTTGAAGGTCAATTGAAATAAATGTGCATAATCACCACCCCCCCCCCCCATTTACACAGGTTGAAAATTGAATCACATTGAATTATTTTATTGCAAACTGCTTCTTGCTACCATTTTCGTCATTTCATTTTTGTGCTGACTAATTCGTTGGCTGCGTTTTGTATTAAATGCAATAATGCTATGCACGGAGATTATAAGCAAATGCTTGGTAAATATTGCAGATGTACCCCAATTAGCAATATGCCTGGCCCCTCAATGAAAGAACCGTGCATGCTTAGAGCTGCAACCGCGAAGTGACACGCGTAGAATGTTGTATTTTTCTGCGGAGTTAACAATTTTAAGACCCGTTTTGATAATATTATGAGCGAGAGAACATAGTGTTTTTGGTTATTTGCAAGTAAAATTTGCGTGGTTGGAATCCCATCCAAATTTGTATAATGTGAATTCTATAGGTCCCTGAACTGGATTGATCAAGCAGCAGGTACGTGCGCGCATAGTGATGCTAAAAAAGCTAACCAGTTCTTTAGTTGATTATCCCGTTTACGGCCTTATTGTCTGTCTACTCTTGGCAAAAAAAAATGTCAATCAACCTCTTTTTACATATCGTAGATCTCATGAGCCCAATCATACCTATCGTATATTACCGATTTCGTCTGCATTCGCCTTATGTTCGGGCTTTCCTATTTTTGATTTTTGTTAGAATTTACGGCTGACGGCTCCCCTTTTCTTCTAGCCACTATGAACCAACAAAAAATACCGCACAATCTATATGAAGAGGACACCGATTAATGTTTCTCCACCAAAGTTATCTAAAACATCTTAGCTCTTCTTAACTAGTAGACACTTCTCTAGTTTTTGCCGTATTATATTTCTACCGCAGCTCCTATTTCTTCTGTCTTCGAATATATTGCACTGTCATAGACGGTAGCTCCTGCTTGATTTTGATAGCTTTTTGCTGTTAATTTTTAGTTAGCTTCATCAATTTCACTTTTTCCCAATATATGTCTTAATGAATGTTGTGAACTATCTTTTCTCGCCATCTCTGCATTGTACAGTCACGTGACAGTGTGCTACTTGTAAATGAAATTTATATGCACATACGGGGGTCATAGCATTTCGCACTTTCTTAGAAGTTTTTGGAACAACGCGCTATTCTGGAACATCCAATAACAATGAGTAGCATCTCAAACATGCAGGCACATTGCGGGAGAAATGGTCAACATCGTGTCATAATCCTGGCATCCGCATTAAAAGCACAAAAAATAAAATGCGGTCAAGATTTACTACTCAAAAGGTAGTGAAACCAAGCAAGAAAAAATAACAAAGTATTGTCCGAGAAATGAAACACATGACATACACATGTTACAAAATGTCTCATAGACAATAAGGGGAAAAGAGGGAGTTGATAGAGATGTAGTGCCGATAGAGATGTCATCAGCGATGGCCAACGCTGGTCACAGATTGGACACGTCGATTGCGTCAACGTTTGGCTCAAACATGACTCGAAGCCAATGGCTGACGCAGTACTCATTTCCAATCTGTGTCCAGCGTTGGCGCTCGCTGGTGACACATAAGAAGTCATCATTACGGCCTTGTCTTCTAGGCGGTGTTGGTTGAGCTAGTTTGTGGCACTTACCAATGTGGAATGTCTCATTGCACAGCGAAGTGGTCACATTTTCAATTTCGAACTGAGGTAGCTTCATGTTTTCGTATAGAATCACAGGCGCAATCCCAGACCAGTGTAGCTGAAGTTCGTCCTTTGTTTTGGAAACTGAAAAGACAACAAAGCAAATTTGCATTGACTTGGTCTGTTCATAACATGTCATTTAGGCCATTGAAACACTGGAATGTGGTTAAAAGCAAAATGACGGACAAATATATTTTGTTGACATACGTTTATTTTTTCTGGCTTGGTATAATTCCTATAATTTAGACAATATACTTTGAACTCACATAAGGAAATGCGCACAAATCGTTACCAGAAATGTTGGGCTATGTACCAATTTAGAATTGTTTATTGATTGATAGTCTGGCTTTTCCTTAAATAATGTTTTGGTGAATTGGCTATAATACAAAGGCTGATGCATTATACTTCGCCTCAACCTACGACGGGCTAAAGGCAAAAGCTACGGGCCGCCAGGTCCAATGACGAGCCACTTAGAAATTACCTGGTATTGCGCATTGATGCACGTATCAGTGCCCGCGTCTCGGATCACTAATGGGGACGGGTCGACAGTGGTTCGAATCAAATATCAGTGAGCGACTCAACAATTTTACATTACCAAAATGCCACGACGTACAGGCTGTTTGCAGTGTCGAAGCTATAGAAATAATGCTCCGAAATAATGAGGAGCATTATTTCGGAGCATTATTTGTCCACCCCAATCAATGCTAGGCATGTCATAGTTTAGCGTGGAACGTGACTGGACCTGGCGGCTTGTGGCTTTGGCCTTTAGTCCATCGTAGGATGAGACAAAGTATAGTAAAATATGGAAAAATGATAAATATATCATTATACTTAAAAGAATGCAATCGCTGTGATTCCTTGAGCTTTAGGGATACAGGAAAAGTACAATATATATAAAAAATTACATTACTTTATCATTTTATAACAAATTCAAATGCTACGGGCTTATCACGCAGACAAAAGGGAGAACAGCAAAAAAAGTATGAACCTTTGTACCCACGTTTAGTTGTTAGGTAGAACTACCTAAAGGAGTGATGCAACGATTTTACCTTCGAAAAGATGTGCAGCTTTTAGTTTTTAAATAGTTTGATTTAATAAAAGAAATAGAGAAACCACTTAATTGTTTTGAAATATTGCGATTCGGTTGCGCAATAGAAAAGAAAAGAACGGGAATATTTCGCGATTTACAGCCACGGGGGGCGGAATGCGAACACGGTCGTGAAGCACACCTCGATGCATTGTATCCACCTGATGAAATGTGCCATTATATGCTCAATCTAACGCTATATTTGATAAATATTGTCGTTTCAACATCAGTAAATGCGCCGAAAGCCTCATATCGTCCACAAAGTTGAACTATATTACTAGGTGGAAAAAAAAAAAACACACACAAAAAATCTATACCTCCCATGATCCTCGCCCCGTTGCTACTAAGTCGGTCCAACTTTCTTACGGCAAGGGAAACGCCCCCCCTCCCATACACACACACACTTCTCCCCTCTTGCCCTCCCCACGTACCTCAGATCGACCTTCAAGGTCGCCGCGTGAATCGCAAGCGGAGGCCGCGCGGGCTGGAGGCTCTGAATGAGAACGCAATTAGATTCTCCTTGTCCCCAGTGCGCACGGGAACACGTCGCTGCACACGTGACTCGAAACACGGTGCAATAGTTGTGAGTGGTTTGGAGGCACCCTAAAAATCAATAATTTGACAAAAAAAAAAAAAAAGACCTATCCCAGGCGAAGTTTGTTTTTAGTTCTTTTATCCAGACGTGACAAGGGACAACTGCTACAATTATTTGACCGATAGACCAAATAATGTTCCATGGCCCCTTTAATGAATAAGAAGGCGCGAGAATGGGTTTTTGTAAAGAAATGTCTTTATTTTCACATAAGGAAAAAATAATTGTGCTTTAAAATAAAACAAGGACATCCGTATTAAAAATGAAAATGGAATCTCTCTGGGGCAACACATTTTTCCAGTAGTTAGTCTTGATTTTAGGTTTAGCAGCGAGACGATGATGCCAGAAACAACCTCAGAAAAGGGCGGCACACTTTTGTACGATTAATTCTTTAAGGCATTAATGAACGATAATTCACGAACCGGTTAATCGGGAGATTAAGTGATTAATTTTACCGCTCAACCGAACGCGTGGCAGTTAGCACACAAAATGAGTACCGACTGGATTGTACACTTCTATAAATGTGTGTTGACTCAGAATGGCAGATGTACATAGAAAGGAATATAAAGCAAATTTCAACCTCACGCGTGGAATATTACGATCACATGCATTACTGCTTTCACCTTCACTATATATCAACAGTTTTGTCTTACTCCTCAGTGCTTGCAAGCGAACATTTTTTTATGAAAGGATTAATAAAATATCTATAAAAAAGCAATTTTTGTTTTCCTTCGAGTTGCCATAACCTTCAGCGCCTGGGTGGTGGTTAATCGAACACTTACAGGAAGCCAGCTCGATCGTGCAGACTTGTGCGTCGAGTGGATACCGGTAGAGGTCCATCATGCAGGAGAAGGTTAGCTTGAGCCTGCATTGAAATAAAACAAGAACATATCTGTTAAAAAAAGAAAATAAACGTGTACGATCCGAACGTTTCGAGTACTTAAGTGATGCTCAAAAGCAAACTCACCCACCAACAACGTAAAAAGAAAAAAAAAAAAGAAGAAAAAACCAAAGAAAACAGGTTAATTTCAAGTCAGAAGGGCAATAACTTAAGCTTTCTAAAAGTGATGTACAGCTTTCAACAACCATCTACTCAGAAATAAATAATGGTCCCTCTGTCGAAACAAAACATGTCCTTATTCATTTCTAGCTCGGTAAATATTGAACAAAAAGCTATTTTTTAAGGTTCTTTGGGAAGCAGTAGCTGTCCCTTACGCCGATGACTTCAATAAATAATAACTTCCGCTGCGCGACAAATAAATATTGCAGTCCTTTTTACGATCGAAACACAAAATATTTTTACGTTTACAAAGCAACAATATCCAGAGGCGTAAACAAGAACAAAAGTTTAATGCGTCGTTTTGTCTTGGTGTGCGTATCAATAGATCCTGATTTAGCGAAGGGCATTTCTGCAGTACTGAAATATAGGCCTTTTTACGTAGATGTTGCCATCTTTCAAATGGCGGGGTTGATGGTGCTACCTAGCGTCTGCCTGGTTCCAGCAGCTCCGCCACCCCGTTCCCTTGAGTATGGGGTAAAGCCGGAACAGCTATGCTTGCCTGAGCGCCGGGTGCACCCTTCCGGTCACTACTCTTCCGTTTTTTTTTTTTTTTTAGTGTCGTTTTAACTCAGGTATCAAAACAGGTAACCCTTCATTATTCGTTTTGGAGTTTTACTGCACCCTTATTACGTTCGAGACTGCTTTGGCTCCGCTGAGCAGATATGGTTCGACTCCCACTATCGAAGGTGGAGGCTCGAAGGCGAGGCGTAATTAACTTGCGTTACTAATTACAACTATAGTTGGGCGTGGCGGAGAGGACACTCGCTACTTGCTGCGTCGACAAATGCAGTCGTAGGATTGAGCGTCGAACACGCAAAGTGGCCGCGATTATACCGCTACAGAAAATATCGCCGCCTTTAAGTCATAACTCATGTGCGAGTTAATGACGGCTGTTGCTTATGCATGAGTTACTGCATTATTACAGAACAACCATTTAAACATGAATCCAGATTTCCATTTTAATTAGATACGTTTGACTGGAGGTATATTTAGCACCTGCTTAGCGCAAAATAAAGAGAAAACTCACGTGAATTCTGCTTTTTTACCTTTTTTTATTTGGATATTTATTAGATTAGTGTAGTGACGGGAGCGCTAGTTGCATCCAGTGAGGCGGATCGCTGGCTGAGCGTGCTGAGGCACCGCAGCTTGAATCACATTACGCGAAAGCTCGCACCGCAAATCCCAGGAACACTGGATTCATTCCCCGCCCTTGTCGGTTTCGATCTGAATGAACGTCGTGCAGACGTTCGGTCGTGTACAACTACTGCGCGATGCACGTTAAACTCCTCAGGCTAGCAGTCGTACTCCACTGGCTGAACTACCGGTTTAAGTTGAGCTAGTTGGTACATGTATACGAGGAAACAGCTTGAACACTAAACACTCACACACAGACAGTACAGTACATACACAGAGCCTATGTTTAGGAAATGTGCATGTCCTAAACATAGCCACTGGCTATCTTTAGCCAATGGCTAAATATAGCCACTGGCTAAGTTTCTCATATACAGCGTAAACCAGAGTAGTAAGGTCAGTCTGCCATACCTAAAAGGCGGACCGACCTTACCCTGTCTAAACACGCACGTCTAGTTTGCTCCAGTTTTCTGTCAAGTGATCATCTTAACCCCAGAGGAACCTGACAGTCTCAACTTGATTCCTTCTACGCCGAACATACGAACTCAAAACAATGAGATGTATGTAGAAAAAGCCAAACGGGGACATAAAAAAAAATTACCGCATCTCCGCGTGGTGAATGATGTTGATTGGGGCGAAGCTCTGGTTGTGCTGATGATACAGATTTTGTTCATAGGTAGTGCTGATCTCAGAAAGAGAATGTGTGGTATGGAGCGTGGTTATATACGCATTTGAGCATTTGAGCGCAGCGCTCTCTCGTCTATAAACGTTGAGCCAATGCATACAAAGTTTAACTGGATTATATACGGATTTGACCGCAGCGCCCTCTCCTGTATGGACGTTGAGCGGCTACATGCAACGTTTCATTCATGACATCCCCAGCTCTTGAGTTACTACCACATCTCAGAGCGCCCTACTCGTCCCGCAGTCGTGGCCGAGTGGTTAAGGCGATGGACTAGCATTCCATTGGGGTCTCCCCGCACACGTTTGAATCCAGTCTAATCCGCAAACATTTTTTTTTTCTTTTTTTACGAAGACAGATGGGATGGCAGTCGATGTGAGCACGGACGCCGGACGGACGAGGCTAGACGCTAAGGAGCTTCATCCCTAAAAACAATTATGGAACTGGGCACATGGCGATCGTATTTTAGGACGACCAAGCGTGTCGAACGTTTTTTCAATACCTTTACGTTATAAGCCCCTCATCGAACACCCGGAAACATTACAATCAAATAAACGAATACAAATTACTCCGAGTTTATAATTGAAGGCTAAGGACGCAGGTATCACAAGTAGGGTTTTCGGTAAACCAGGAAACATTACCCCAGAGACCGTGTTATTAAAAACGGGGGGAAACCAAAAAAACAACTTCGCATTAAAAAAAAAAACAAAAAACAAAAAACTCTATTTATTTTTGTTATTTTTGTCCACCCGAAACTGTGCCCCAGTAAGCCGTTCGCGAGGCTGCTTCTGTTAGGATCAGCGCCCATTATTTCATATCCTCGTTTTATCAACACCAAAATCTTCAGGTCACGTGCAGAGTTCCTGGTCGTTCTAAAATTCAATTCCCGTGTCTTGTTTTCTGCAGCAAAAGTCCCGATAATCACCGTGTTTTTTCGACACCGAAAAGTGGTACCGAAAGAACACCAAATCTGTAATCCACCTCCTCCATCTCCCCCCCCCCCCCTCAAAAAAAAAATAAAAATAAAAATATGGGTTTGTATGACAATAAACCCCGAAATCACGGAAGCATAATCACAAGCCGTGATCGGCAAAGTAGCGTCGGAAAATATTGGAAAAAGTTTGTTCTAATACATTTTATGGTTCAAAAGAATGCAACCGCATTCGCCAAGCGGTTTGCACTGCTCCTTACAGAACTCCGCCCGATTCATTCTTGGCAAACTAGGTAAAGTTGTTTTTGAATCCCAAGAGCAGGCGGTAGAATTAAAATGATCGGAGTTCTCACAAAGTTTATAATGTCGTAATTTACTGAATTCATCGAATCAGTAAGCACCGCAACCAAATAAACGCACGAAGCAGTGTCACTTCCCGTACAGCACCAACGCGGCGTCGTCCACTCATCCAGGCAGTGGCACGCTGCAGCGCTTCTATTTTAGATTACGGCGCTGCCGGATTTAGTGAGGTCACACAATAAAGCCGTACAGGCGAGGAGGTCGAAATGTTTACGGCGTTTAGCCAGCTTGTTCGTCGCAGGTCTCGCATTTGGCCCAGCACAAATCGCACTGAATTCTTCGTGTCATTTATTCAATCGAATGCGGGTTTCAAATAGGACGCTAGTGACGCGTCAGCGTCTGCGTGGATTAGTGCTCAATTTGTTCACCACTAATTGAATAAGAGTGCCAGTCGAAAGATGAATCAGCGTCCGGTTGCGTCAGCCGAACAGTATGTCGGAAACATACAAGTCATTTTTGTATGTTGCTCATTCGTCCGAAGTGAACCTCTAGTAGAGTGACGGTTTGATATTTTGAATAAGGTTAGCTTTTTTTTTTTGGCCACTGAAATATTTGTTTGCATTTGGATTGTTCGTTAATTTTTAAATTCATTCTACAAGCGCTTACATTGGCTTCCAAAACTAATGTACTTAAATATACGGGAAATTTCGAGGCCACCTAAGAAATTAGTTGTGAAAGCGAAAGCTTGAACGTTGTTCATCTTCTTCCTTAGTTTTTTTGTGGTGTAGTGGCTTGGATGGTCACGTTTTGCTACTGGCGAGATTGCGGCCGCCGACGATGTATATGTCTCAGGCGCCACCACGTTCCTCGGCGCCGAGAGTAGCAGAAGCGGCCGCAGCCCCCCTCCTCCGGCAACACCTAACACAAGAGCGGCGGTCGAGCGCGCGCTCTCGTGAAGCGGTCGCCGATGGCTGTTTAGGAGCCGCTTCACTCAGCCAATGTGAGGATGGGCCTTTCTTTCGCTTTATTTTGTGGTTACGGACGCCGCCGGCTCCGCTCCATGGGGTAGTTAATGCTTTTGTTTTAAAATCATAAAAGCGCAAAAAAAAGCAACTGCGTTATATATTACTGATGTGCAGTTATGATAAGAGTGACCGCAATCAGTCTTTCGTAAAAAGGTTTATTATAAACATACCTGGCTTCTTGTTTTTTCTCTTGAAAACAACAAAAGTAATCGTTTTTTTTTTTTTTTAAAATCGGGAATGGGAAGATTTGTGGTGTAGAGGCGTGGGTCTCCCTTAATATGAAAACACAATATAAAAAATGAAACGAAGCAATGTGTCGAAAACTAATCTTTAGAGCCTGACGACGCCACATGCAGCAGTTTCTCACCAGGGTTTGGAAAGGATGACAGAACGGAAATGAAAGCGACGCCACCCGGGGAAGGGGGCGGGCCCTCGCCTCAGCGCTTTCGACGGGTGGAGTGCAATCTGTCTTTGTCTCACCCAGCTGTCGAGATGTCCTGCCCCTCGGTCTCCCCCTCAGGGGTCCCGGTCAGCGCACAACATTTTCCGCATTTACGGGCGGTTAGCTGCACGGCCAACCCAAGCATCTCAGTTCAAGGTCAGCCAATTATGGTAATACTTACTTTCTGTAAATGAGAAAGTTTACATATACCCGAGTTCGGTTTTTTTACTTGTACAATTGTCAAATTAACCTCGGGAATTTTAAAGGTGTGTTTCCAGTTGAGATAATGTTTCA